AAATTGCATCGCTCGTGCGCCTTCGGCGCTCTCGCGCCTTTTCATTTTTAAAAAAATGCATAGCTCGTGCGCCTTCGGCGCCCTCGCGCCCGTGTGCAATGCACACGTTTGCTCCTATGTAAAAAAGTCCCTGCAAAGCAATAACGAATGCATTTTTATGTATCCCCCGAACAAAAATTCAATTTCAAACATTCAGATGCAAAAAATGCTGATTTACGACCAAAATTACAACGAAGTGGGTATTTTGGTGTTGATAGACTCCAATTATTTTTACGAAAAAATAGCAGTTTTCTAAGACCAAATTTGGTCATTTAAATGACATCAGAGGTCTATTTCACGTGTTTTCCGAACAAAAATGTCATTTTCAGTGAAAATAGAGCAAGTTGAAAAATTCACTTCAATCCGACCTATTTTCGACCATGAAATAGCCTCAGATCGCATTGTGACCACTTTTAATCGATTGCTCGTCGAAAATTGAGCGGATATGACCATTCGTGAGCCTTTCCAGCCAGTCAATGCGTGTTTTCGGCAGCAATTTCATCGTAGAATGCGACTCTTCGTACAAATTCCGTTCATTGATGAATTGCCTATGCCCAGAACTTCGAAATACGAATTTTTCCGGATATATGGCATATGCCATTTTGTTGGTATGGTGGCTACAAACGCTCAGTCTTTGGTAAAAATTGTCGGACTCATTTTTGAGAAATCGCCTTTGGCGCGAAATTTGAGGGGGTCGATTTTTCATAAAAATCGACTTTTTTATTTTATATCACATAAACATTGGCATGTGTGTATGGAACTTTTTGAAGGTCTTCTCAAATAATTACGGGCTGACTTTGCCCGATGGGTGTCTGAGTTGATCTAGTGTGCGAAATAAATACTTGAAAAAATCGTATACATGCAGGCTAGTGAAGCCATAGCCAGCTCTCCTGTAATGCAAATGTCAATCTGAGGACGGGTTTCGATGTGGCCCGACACCAGCTACAGTTTAGGCATATCGGCACCGGAATCTGTGGGGGTCAAAAAAGTATCCGGACACACGGACGGACGGACGGACGCACAAATCAATACTTTCATAAAAAATCAAGATCAAACTGCCAATGCCCATAACTTTTTCGCTTTTGAACCAATCGGGGCACTTAGACCGGCGTTGGAAAGGTGGCGAGGTGGAGCTTCTCTTGGAGATCTCAGACCACCCCTGGGTACCCTCTTCGTAAGATATGGGTATAGATTTGAAAATTTATCGAAATTTTCCAACCGCTTTATTTTTGCCTTGACCACACTTTAGGCATGGGGGATATGGTGTTTCCGACTATTTGGGCCAAGACCTTTCCAACGGTACCTAACATGCAGGGGTCCAAATAGTGTCCTGAGAAAAAAGCATATTTACTGTATATATTACTCGTGACGCAAAAACTGGCATTATTGATATTTGGCTTGAAATGCACAGTCTATGGTGCGTCACTTGTCGGACTATCGTCCTCCATGATAGAGACGACGTGCTTGAGATGCAACGACGCGATACTTTTTTGTTGCTTTTAAATGCGTTTTTTATAATCAATTATTGATCATATTTGGATTCTTCAAAACATGTACATGCGCTTATCTTGCATCTAAAGGCTTGATTATAATAAGTGGTTTGAACCAAAATAAATGGTCAAGTGTATACTCTGTGCTGTTTATAGATTAAATCTTGTTAAATTTTGTTTATATAAACCCTGTCGAATTCGACTCGAAATCAATCTGAATTCAAGCAAAGTCGAAGTAAAGTAAAATTAATATGAAGTACTGGCACTTTATTGCCTCAAGTGTTTTAGTCGTTTGTCTCGTCAAGTCGTTCTTAACAAGCGTAAGTCTCGAAAATTAGATTGTAAATGAAATTGAATTGGAGTTATTTATAACTGCGTAGTTTCAAAACAGATTTTGAAATCAGTTCCATAAAGCATACCTTTTACACTGAAAAATTATCTTTTCAAGGCATCAACCATCGGCAACGAAAATGTTTCAACAAGAAATAATCCACTTGTGAGGGTAGACATCCGTGATTTGGTCGCATTGGTCGATGCAAACGAAACCTTTTCACGCTTTGCAACCGATGTCTATAAACGAAAACATTCGATAAAACATGTCTTAATGTTTGACCCAAAAAACGAGTCAAATGCTTCGATTTTTGAAAGCGATGGTTTTATTTGGGTTGAACATTATGGGACAGCTTTGAGATTCCTGAAGTTTTTTGGACACTTTATTCAAAAGATGAACATTCATTACACCATAAACTACATAGCCGAAACAGATCCGAAGGAGTTGAATAGTTACATTAATTTGTATTGCTCTGATACCATTCAATCACTCACGATTGAGGGTACAACTCAGAGTCTATTGGATCAAATAACAAAACCATTCAAGGCAGTTGAATCACTCACAATTTCTACTCGTATCGAGAACATTGCAAGTTTTAATCGCATTTTTCCAGCTGTTCGTTATTTACGCTTGACCCCCGTTTATATGGAGGATAAAAGTAGCATTGAGCAATGGTTTCCGCACTTGGAGCACTTATACATACAACTGGACCAGGAAAGCTTATCACTCTCAGACTACGGGACATTACTTTTAAGAAATCCACAAATCAAAAAATTATCGATTTGGAAATGCAGTCCTGAATTTTTGTACACTGTTAACGAAATTGTGCCCAACATTACAAATCTTTCTCTCGTGGACTATAATCCCTACAATGAATCGAGCTATCGAAACACAGTTTTCAAGCATGTAACTTTCTTTTCGCTGCTAAATTCAGATGGCCATGTGCCGAAGAATATTTTCTTTGAAGAGCTCACACAGCTTCAACTGCACAGTACATCGACAGAGGACTGGATTTTATTCGCTGAGAGAAATCCTAGACTAGAAAAACTGGATCTGGCCAGAGTAGACGATGAACAATTCAAGAGGATTATTACCGTTCAAAAGAACTTGGTTGAAGCAAAATTGAGATTCGCAGAGGATGTCAGCGATGAACATGTTCTTGAATTCATACGGAACAACAGAAACGCAAGCCAAATACAGTTCACTAGACAATCGATTGGATTTGGAAAAGTAGCAGCACATTTGAATAAAAAAGGATTTGGAAATACGTTCAATATAACAGTGCATGATAATTTGTTGGAATTGAATCGACGTGCTTGAATGATTATTACGGTTCATCAACGATGAATCATCATTTCCAGTGTCAGCAGTTAAATGAAATCTATCACGAAAACATGTAACTGAACCATTGCTTGAATGACTTTTTTGATTTCCCGTGGCTTTTTTTTATCTACCGTTCATCCACAATTTGAATTCTCAAATATTCTGATAGAATAATAGATATGGTTTTTATCAAAACATATTTATTAATCGTGTGCAGTTCTATTTCATTTATTACTTTGAGTAAAAATCCAAATTGTAAAGGGTGTTTCAACAAGGACGCAAAAAACTTTAGATAAAAAAAACACATAAATTAAATTTCAATTGTCCAAATTTTAATTGTGTTATGTAGTTTGGTCTATGGCAATTATGTATGAAAGTGAATTTTATACAAACGGCCTGTATGGCGCATTTTAATTGTGGCCTGTTTAGAGGAAAAATTTCACCAAAAAATGTTGAAAAATGGCATTTTTAATGGTAAAAAAATGCATCAAATATGGACTTACACACCTAAAAACGCAGCTACGGCACTCGCGATGAAGTAATGTATCGCCAAATAGCCAAAACAATGGTCCAATTTTGTGAAATTTGTGATTTGAGTAACCAACAAGTATGCATTTGGCGCACAAATTTTCTGTCGTTTTTGAAGCTCAATTCTGATTAAGTTATTATTTGACGGTTTTTCAAGGACATTTCATTGTTGATCGATCTGGCTAAACAATTAGTGTCCCCAGCTGTCATTTAAAAGTATCAAACTCAATAATTGTCAAAGCCATTTTTGTAAAATTGGCC